TTTGAGTGAATGACTGTTTGCCAAACTGATTATCACGTGATGTTTGTAACTTTTCCCCTGTGTATACACAGTTATCCCTTTGTATCCACAGAGGATTGGTTCCAGGGCCCTCCACAAATATCAAAACCTATAGATGCTCAAGTCCCTTATATAAAATGGAATAGTGTTTGCATATAAGGTGCACATATCCTCCTATATACTTTAAGTCGTCCCTAAATTACCTATAATACCCAATGCAATGCTATGTAAATCATTGTCAGCATATGACAAATTCAAGTGTTACTTTTCAGGAAGTGTTACTTCCTGAAAAAAAAATTTTTTTAAAATGTTTTTGATCTGCTGTTGGTTGAACCTGTGGTTGTGGAATCTGTGTATATGAAGGGCTGACTATATACATATATACTCATTCTGTGTATGTTAAATAAATAAATGATCATTACTAATTGTGATGTATGTATACTATGTATATGTGTATTAATACATATATACATTTTTGAATCTATTAACCTGTATCGGTAACAGTGATCCTTCAGTGTTTCTTAGTAGCTTTTTGATAGTAAAAAGCAATAACTTATGGGCACATAGATCTTTGTCAAGATTTTAAGGTAAATTTAAAATCTTTAGGCCTATCTTCAAAAATTTTATACTTTCAAAATTATTGTTTAAAATCATAGCTGAAGGAATAGAGCAAGAATATATTACAGAAAAAAAAAACTGGTAAAATTTGCCAATATACTGCATTGTGAAGGAACCTCCAAAAAATTCAGAATCAAAAAGATAACCTTCTTGGTTAGTGAGTATATAAAATGTTTCAATTACTAATTTTTATCATTTAGTATTGATAAAGTATATTATCTATGTGTAATCATTTGGAATTCACTAAATTATAAAAAGCTTTCTTTGACAGGTAATACATGGAATAAAAGTCACAAGGACTATTGATGTGACTATTCACTAAAGACAGTGACAAATCAGTTATTCTCCATCACTACATAAGGAAGAAATGGGTTTTTTTGTTGTTGCTGTTTTAGG